CCTGGATGACCATTTTCTTTGTCTCCTTCAGGGGTTTTTGTTCTTTGCTGTCGCTAAGTGTTGCTCTTTGGGGTTCTGCCCTCTTCTCATCTCCACCTGGGCATTCTTCATGGGTGGTCTCCTCGTGTTAATATCATCCATATGCAGGTGACTCTCAACTCTGTTTTGCCTGAGGTCAGGGCTATGCAGTCAAACTGCTTGCTGGACAATGGAATCTGGACATTCTAAGAGCACTCCAAATTCAATGGGTTCAAACTCAATCCATGATTCTGTTCCCAAATATTTTCCTCTTCTGTTCTATCTCAATTGGTCGTAGTGCCATCATTCACCAGATCACCTAAACCATAAACTCATGATTAAAGCAGGATTGCTCAACCTCAGCACTCTTGATATTTTGGGCTGGTTAATTCTTTCTTTCTTTCCTTCCTTCCTTCCTTCCTTCTTTCTTTCTTTTCTTGTCTGGACAGGGTGTTGCTCTGTCACCCAGGCTGGAATGCAATGGTGCAAACATGGCTCACTGCAGTCCTGACCTCCCGGGCTCAAGCAATCATCCTGCCTCAGCCCCCCATGTAGCTGAGACTACAGATTCACACCACCACGGCCAGCTAATTTTTGTATTTTTGGTAAAGATGGGTTTTTGCCACATTGCCCAGGCTGGTCTTGAACTCCTCACCTCAAGCAATCCACCCGCCTCAGCTTCCCAAAGGGTTGGGATTACAGGCATGAACCATCATGCCTGGCCTGGATAATTCTTTGTTGTGGGGATGCTGTCCTATCCATTGTAGAATGTTTAGCAGCATTCCTAACCTGCATCCACTGGACACCAGTAGGAACCCACCAGCTGTGATAACCCAAAATGACTCCAGACATCAACAAATATCCCTTGTGAGACAGAGCTGTTAAAATATCCTAGGGTTGAGAACCACTGGGGTTAAAGGCATGGGTCTGGGAGTCACATATATTGGTGCCATTTTGGACTAGTTACTACCTCTCTGAGCCTCAGTTTGTTTTCTCTATAAGACAGACACAACTCTTACCTCATAGGAGGAACTTAATTTAGGTAAAGTGCATAGGATCTCTCAACAAAAACACTTCTCTTTTCTCCACAATCCTAGGTCTTTCAGTTTTATCTCTTAAGTATTTCTGGTCTCTCCACACTTTTCCATTTCGACCTGGATTATTGCAACAGCTTTGCAACTGGTGTCAAAGCTTCCAGCCAGCCTTGCTCCCTTTAGATCCACACTCCACCTGGCACATGAGGCCTTCATGGTCTGGCTGCTGTGCACCTCTCTAGCCCCATCTCTTGCCCCTCCCAGCCTTGGATTTCTAGTCCAGCCACGTTGAGATGCTAGACATTCCTTTGTATACCATGCAGTTTCCTGTCCCTGTGCATTAGCTTGTGCTCGTCCTTCCTTCTGGAATAACTTCCCACACTCTTTATCTGGCTGACTCTCATTCTTTAAGGTTCACCTAAGTTTCACCTCCTCCAAAAAGTTAAGCCTGGAGCCTCCTTTCCCACGGGGTTCAGTGTCCCTCCTCTGTTCCAACAGTACCCTTGTCAGATGTCTCTCCTTGCATCTAGCTCATGACATCATGTTTTTGTTTCTGTGTCTGCTGGGCTGTGTGTGACGGGGACTATGGCTTTTTCATCTCTATATACGTGCCATCTAGTACATTCCCTGATACGCAGATGGTGCTCAGCAAATATTTATTGAGTGAATAAATGGATACAGCACTACCATTACCCTCTGTGTTAGGTTTAGAGCCATAGTTTAGAAGTGGTGATAAAATAGTCCATAAATCAGCTGTCTCTGTGGCTCAGAAGCAGCGTTTCCTCAGCCAGGGGCTTTTGGAAGGCACAGTGCTGAAGGGTAACACTCACATGAATGTGTGCGGTTGACGAATGATGCAGCCAGCGACACCACCCGATATCTGCTTACAACAGCAGCAGCGGCTCTTCTGAGAAGCAGGGGGCATTTTCTTCACCTTTTCCATGGGTGGCCTTTCAGGTATCCACCATCAGCCTGGAGAGAAGGTAGAGGACAAAATCCAGCCCCTAATTCAGGGCCTTTCCTGTCAGTGAACTTCTTCATCTAGCTCCTTCACTCACCTCTGAATTGACATATTTGCATTTCTAAATTTAAATTTAAATTTTTGTAGTTGATGCAGCCATTCATTCTACAAATACAGTCACAAATACAGTCCTCCCTTGGTATTGGCAGGGTATTGGTTTCAGTATCCCCGTGGATACCAAAATCTGAGGATGCTCAAGTCCCTCACAGTCAGCCCGGGTATCTGCAGGTTCTGAAGCCTGTGGATATAAAGGGTCAAATGCATATATGTATGTATATATTTTGAGACAGTCTTGTTTTGTCACCCGGGCTGGAGTGCAGTGGTGAAAATGCACCTCACTGCAACCTCGACCTCCCAGGCTCAAGTGATTCTCCCGCCTCAGCTTTCCAAGTAGCTGGGACTACAGACGTGTACTACTATGCCCGGCTAATTTTTGTATTTTTAGTAAGGATAGAGCTTTGCCATGTTGGCCAGGCTGGTCTCAAACTCCTGGGCTCAAGCAATCCACCCGCCTCAGCCTTTCAAAGTGCTGGGATTACAGGCGTGAGCCACTGCCACCGCGGCCAGCCTCAAATCCATAAATTAAGCTCTACTGTGTGCTTGGTGCTGGGGTGGAAGACTAGCACAGCTGTTGTTCACAATACAGTGCATAACGTAGGAGAGGTTTATTTGCTACTGTTCTTTGACCCAGGATCCCATAGAGAAGCCTGCCAGAACGCGAGGCCTGCTCCTTCCCGGGCATTAGCGCTTTTATACTCTGCTCTTACTAAGCGCAGGGAAAGGAGTCCTGGCAGGTGGCAAGCAGAAGTTAGAGCTATTTAGTCACTCCCGCCCTCCGTCCTCCTCCAATGACAATAAGGTTTTGTTTGTCAGGCATAAGGTTACAGGATTGGCCTGTGGAGTCCAGAAGCTCTTTCTGCGCTCGGCTCTTTGAGCCTCAGTTTCCCCATCTGTCAGGTGTGTGTATGTGGGAGGGGGGCACGGAGTAGATCTACCTAGATCACTTGGGGCCGTCCCTTCCAGTTTTGGGGGAATGTCGGGGTGTCTGTGAGGGGGAGGGAGGACTCCGCCACGCGAAGGTAGTTTTAGCCGCAGCAACCAGCCAAGTGTGCCCGCGGAGACCGGCAGGGAATTCCAGGAGGCCCCTCTGTGGAGCGGTCCCCAGAGCCCGAGGGTGAGCTGGAAGGGTTCCTGCGGCGAGGCGGGAATGCTCGGTAGCCTCTGAGAGCAGTTCGCTGGCGAGAAACCCGGCTCCTGCAGGGCAGGGATCAGCC